CCCTGAATATAACATATGTATTGCAGCGGCTGCGCGAGAGGGAACGAGACAACGAAAGTGGTGGGGCTGATTCTCGTGCCCGAGGGCCAGATGTCCATCACTGGCGCCATTGGCTCTGTTCGCGTTGCATGAAATCCCCAAATATTTTTGCACTTAAAATGAGATAGATACATATTTTGCCTTGAAAAGAGAGAAAGTAAAGATGTCGAGTGCCAAAAGTGCAAGCAACGCGAACAGACCTATTGTCACGAAGGGTATTTTTACACCAAAAAGTAAAAATAAAAATACCAAGAATAACGGCCTTGATTTTGTCAAATGTTATGAAAGTCATGATCTTGAACAACATCTAAAGGGTGTTAATCATCTGTTGGATATCTTAGATAATGCTCTAATGTTGGCGATACAGTAACTTTCAAGCCTTCTAATTCAAAGAATATTTAATGACAAAGTATTTTATATATAGTGTTTTGAATAATATTTTGAAGAGCTGTCAAGATAAGCTACAAAAGTAGGTAATGAAAAATATGGGTTTTCGTTTACAAATTGATTATGGCTTTGATAAAAAAAATGTCAAATATCGTTAAAAATACCATTTTTGGACATTTGAACCCCAATTATTATTTGGAAACCTGACGTGTTGAAATTTATTTTACTCACAGCATCGTTTTCAGCATTCAAAAATTTGTACGAAATACTTAGTCCGGTTCGAAGTAATTTTTTTTTACTATAAACTAATGTAATTGAATCGCATTATATTTATTACATATATTTTTATTACAGTAGAAAACAGTACTCACCTTTAAATCCTAGTTCCCCTGAAGAATCCGACTCTCCATTGGAGCGTATAAATATAGATCTTATGCACGAACTTCAAGATGTGATATTTCCAAATATCCCGCCTGTGGATAAGATGGTAAGCTTTTATAATACTTATACATTACTATATGATTTGCACAAAAATTTGAATAACATTTTTGAAAACAAAAAAAATGCATAAATTGAGTGTTGTATCTTTATTTTTTTATAATTTCACACATATTTTTTCACTCTTTCATTTCTTAACTGTAGTAAAAAATACTTAACAATGTGCAAGCAAATTTAATCTAACGCCAATTTTTTCATAAATTTTTTTGATAAATTTACATAGGTCTACGAAGATTGATGTTTGTGGCTAGATTCGGATTCAACGCAAAAAATTATGTTGGAAATCATTCCTACATTAAGATGTGATTTCCGACATAATTTTGTTGCTCTGAATCCGAATCTAGCCACAAAATTTGTCTATCACGACATTTTGAGATATTCTAACCTAAAAATGCAAAAAGGCCGTTTTTTGACATCTTTAGATTACAATAACTTTGAAACGTAAGGATATCCATTGATTTGGTCATTCATACAGCACAGAAACTTACAGTAACATTGCAGAAATGTTACAATATTGCGCTATAATATCCCCAAATAGCAAAGCATATCTCAGCAAAGTTGCACAAATCTGTGATTGCTTATATACTGGCAACTTGCTGTAGATTTGTCTTCAACGATTTCGAATATACCGACATACAGACAACAACGTGTATTGTCAGCAGTTTAACAGCAAGATAGCTGCGTCAATGTTATCGTGCGTTATCGGCAATACGACAGCATTGTATAATGCTGCATATTATTATGGCAACTTGATGGTAATAGTACGAATTTTAATGACGAGTTTAAAATTGTCTGCAAATTGCTCGCAAGTTGCTATTTAATATTATCAGATCGTGAAGGCATCAAGTTGCCAACAAATCAAGACTTAGTTGCCGCAATTCTGATAGCAACACATATTTAGCAATGCATGCTTAGCAAGCAACATGTCAACAACAAGACAGACACGTTGCTATCTGGGTCGCTGCAACATTGTAGGTATTAGGAATTGTAATATACATATAATACATATTACGGCGCAAGATTTTACACAAATCTTCCAGCATTGTTACAGAGACATTAAAAAACATTTTAGTTTTTGAGTAATGAACTACTGTCACATGTGGAAACACATGTCAATTACATGTTATGTGATTGTTAATTATTTCTATTAATTTATAGCTTCTGCACACTGGACACGGAAACGCTTGACGCGGTAAAATGCGACGCGGTAACCAATGAACATGTTAGGAGCTGTAAGCTTATTGGTTATCGCGCCGCATTTTGCCGCGCGGCAAGTGTTTCCGCGTCCAGTGTACGGGAGCTATTAGAAATTATAGTGTTCATTGAAACATTTGTTACCGTCGCGCGGCAAGATTTTTCAAACCTTATAATCAACTCTCATATTTTTTGGAATATATGGATTTAAAAAATTCTTTGAATATGGCAAAGAAAATAAAATAGAATGCCTGGAGTTTCTTATTATTTCCATTTTACTAGTTAAGAATATGTGCAAAATAGGCGTACCTGCATAAAGTGTAAAATATATACAATATTTGCGAAAAAGTGTAAAATATATGTCTACATATGTAAAATTTATAAAATATATATACCTGCATATAAAATTTGCAATTAAGTATAAAATATAATAATTATAATATAAAAAATATATATATATATTGATTAATTCTTTTTCTGCATTTTTTTATTTATATCACAAATTGTATTTTAAATTATATTTGATAATAATAAAAGAATTATTTTTAAGTAGTTGCAAATACATTGCGCTGCAACATTGCTAAGACATTACAGCACAATCTTGCTGAAGGTGCACATTTTTATGATGCTATGACATTGCAACAATAGTTGCTTTCCATTTACACTGATTTACACCGATTCTCAGATAATTCTCACTTGCAACGTCATAACTCAGTTGAATGCGCGTTCCTTTTGCATTCTGACAAGTGAGATTTAACTGAGTTTTTGCCTATAATCTGCACAAGATCGAGACTGTGTGCTTTATAGTGAGCCTCGTAAACTCACTTTAAAAGTGAAGTTATGAAACTGTGTTATCATTTGATAACTTTTTATCAAAGTAAGCAAATAATAATGTCATTAATCTGAGTATGAAATACTCAGCTTACTTCAGACTCAGCTTCACTTGTGTGGAAATAGAAAGCAACTAATGTTGCAAATACATTGCGCAATCTATTTGTAATATTATAACATTGCAATGAGATATCTGCAATCATTTTGCAATTTTTCTGTGCTGTATGGGCAATAGATTCGAATTCATCATGAACAAATCTACACAAATGCATATGGGACATTCCACGTCAACTGAGACAGAGCGATGCCTAAAATGTGTTACGACCAAAAAAATCGTTTCAGGGCTCAAAATGTTCGTAATCGCATGTACTTTCGAACGTCATGTGGCGCTTTGGGAAAATTCAAAATGGCGGTTAATAAGGAGCCCATAACCCCATTGATTATCACATTTCGTGCAGAAAATGGCTATTCTAAAACTCAAAATTTTAATTATATAAAATTTTGAGTATGTAGAAAGCTCTCTGCGTCTGCCAGGGTTGAGACTGTCTTCAATATCAATGTTCGAAGCCCGCGTTACTCTCTTTTTTTTTTATTTCAGTTTTATTAATTTTTTTTAACTTTTTAAAATTTTATTATTTTTTTGTTTTCTTTATTTTATTTCTATTATATTATTCATTTGATTATCTAGAATAAGATGATGTAAAACGTACGATTTTTTAACGTTTAATATTGAACAACTGCAAGTGCCTCATTGGCGTTTGAATATCTGAAAACTTTTAACTGATTATTTTTCTGAACAGTAAACGCGTGTCCTAGCTGAATGTTTGTTACGGGGGGATCGCCTAGCGGCGATCTTTGGAAACATGAAGACCTATTCGGAGGAGTTCGAGCGTTTCGGACTCGGCCCTCCCTTTTAGAAGTATTTTAAATACTTCTTTTATACTAAGATGTGTCTCTGTAATTGTTTCTTCGCTTCTGCATTTATCTAATTGGTTCTTATTAAATTATGCAAATAGCATGTAAACAAAATACTATAAGATAAAAAATAATACTTTTCCAGACATCTGACTATTCTAAATCCGTAAATGGATATTTTTAAAGTTTATCGATGACTGCATTTTTCAGTCATTCTTCAAACGACAATGAGGCATTTAAAGTTGTTCAATACTAGACTGAATTGTAGGTACATTTTA